GTCCTTGCCAGGTGAGCACACTTGGCCGAGGTGAGGGTAATACCATCCAGGCCGGGGAAGCACGCGGCTTTGGAAGGGAATCAAAGAAGTGGTGGGGGGGTGCGGGGGGGACTTGTTGTTTGGGGAATGTCGAAAGCAAACCGCAACATTCACAAGGGCTATTGAAATTCACTTACTTTTTGTTTCGAAAGTCTGAACCACAAGAACTTGTTGAAGGTTTTTTTCTTGTCACGCCTCCCAGAACCTTCCCATTTTAGGGAAGCTGGACATGCATTAAGTGCGAGCAGTATTCGTTGAAACATGTTTAACATTCTTGGCGCACTGTTTACCTTTGTCCGTAAAGTGTGTAGGGAATGACATCTAGATGATTTCCAAGGGTTCCAGGAAGGCTTCTTTTGAGGGGACGAGGCTTGCCACTCTACTTGTACCAAGGTGTGGACATTTTGGACTTTGGTACGTGGACACGTCGATGGTCTTATCGCCTCCTGTCCCCCAATGAATGAGACCCATGAATTTTGATCCAGGCATGGTGCTATTTGAAATGCATCTGGTTTGCAGTTTCCCTGGGCAAAACTCGAAGATCCGCCCCTCCCCCCGCCACCCGCCCCCCCCCCACAACAAAGCAGCAACAGGAAGTTCGGAGCCCTCCCTTCGGTTTTGAAGGTCACGGACTCCCAGCTTGCCTCGGTATCCCGGGTGCACTGCATCTTCGAGCCGGGGACCAAACCCTGAGAAGCCGCTTCTGATCCTTGCTCAAGGAGGTTGCACCAAGCTTTGGTCAATTTGGGAGGGACGTGGGGACTCACAAACTTTCACACACAAAAAACACATGAGTTTCCCATGTCATTGGGGTAGCTGCAAATCTTGAGCGAGGTACCGCCTCTTTGCAACCCGATCTGAATGGGGGGCGGCTGAGTTAGAGGACAAAACCCCTGGAATTCCATGGTCTTTTTGGGTGTAGGGAAGGTCATGACTCTCCGAGTCTGTCGAAGAGCGCCAAAAAAGCGCTTCGCGACCCACAGAAATTCATTGGGTTTTGACCCATGTGACAGCTCAGGTTTTCAGGAAGCCGCTGGCAGATGAGGGACAACAGCTCCACCAATGGCGCTGTCCTTACACCTGAGGGGCACATGCGTTCCATTTTTTTTTCAAAAAAAGGTCGCGTCCCTTTGCTTTCCCTTTGAAAGCAGCCCCAAGACTCTAGCTATAGGACTTCAAAGCAGAATTCTGATCAATGCAACTCACCGACTTCGGAACACAGATGAAGGGTTTCGAGAGAACATGATGATCATGGTACAACTTGGATTCAGAAACTTACACCCAGAATGCATGTGCATGTTCAGTCACTGCTTTGGGAACATTTACTCAAAAGCACGGGTGAACTCCACTTGGGCTTGTCTGCACTGTCTACACAAACTGAGCCCTAAAGTGGGGCAGTTTCCTTTCGGTTCCCATGAAAAGCAGCCCCCCCAAAGTGGATGCCTCAACAAAAACTATACCCACGAACAAGTGATGCCTTCAGCACAAATTGGGACTCCCTCAAAAGTGTTGTTTTTGAGGGTCCCCCTATTTTTGTGGCGTTTAACGGGAAACCAACAGGACAACGACACCATTTTAGTGGGTGCCCCCTAAACCGAAGGCACAGCCAAATGGCCGCCGTGTTGGTTCCCGGAGGTGCGGAATCGAATCCGCAGGAACCTGGCGCCGGCTCTCCTGCGTGCTGGAACCCTCGCAGCCCGTTCCGGTCTCGGCCTCGATGTCCATCCAGGCGCAATCGACGGTGTGGACGGGGAGCTTCGGATGGGGTGTGCGGATTGGGTGTACCCGGAGTCTCCTTCTGACATCTTCTGACCCTTTAAAAGCGTCACTACCCCTGTATCTTGGGTAATGAACCAATTTTTTGAAGGTCATGGAGACTCCAGGTATCGTTGGGTGTGTGTTTTTTGAGTTGGCAACCTTTTCGGGGTTGGTTTAAAGGGAAGCCAAAGGAGAAGCACGCCTTTTTGTGGGTCACGCTATTTTGACACATGCCCACATTTGGTACAGTCAAACAATCACCACCAGCCGAGAAGCCCCTTGTAGCAGGAAGGTTTACCCCGTTACAGTTGCCTGTTTTAAACATTCACGGAAGCCAGAAAGGCTTCAGAAGACTGTCTGCTTCCATGGTATTTGCTTTTGGAATAAAACCAGCAAAAGATCATGATGCAAGACCTTTATTTGCGGATTCGTAGCTTGCCCAGACTTTTATGGCAAAAACCGACAGATGAGTGCCGTTTGGAGCTCTCTGTGAGGCTTATGTTGCCGTTTGAACAACCATTGGGGCCCAATGACTTGCCGCAGGCTGGAACGCACGAGTTCTTCGTGAAGGCGGCAGAGATGAGGCGCATATTTTTGCTTGTTTTGGTTCACCCATTGCCCCACAGAGCCTTGTGGGCTTGCCCTTCTCTCTCCAGGCAATGCCTCATCCCCTCGCTGGGTAGGGCAGTGCTGGAGGAGCAATCGAAGGAGGCGCGGACGGAGAGTTGATGCATTCGGCGTGCCGACATGTGCCACCCGGGCCTCGGATAGGACCCATCCGCATGCTCGTTGTTTTTGCCTGGACTTTCAGCTGCCTCGTTTGAACTCAAGGAGGGTGTTTAATGTGATCCACAGCCTGTTCAGATTGGGGCGTCGCAGGTCCGTGTGTATTTGCTGGTTGTCACAAGGCTCCTCGATCCAAGCAAGCGCGTGGCGACGAGGTCATCTCCCGAAGGATCCAGGATAGGGCGAATGAACCTATATGAGTCTTTCCAACGAATGGGTGTGTTGTTGTGGTCCCCCCATCCATTTGTGGGGTCCCCCATCATTTAGGACTCGATACGCGCATGGTTTGCTTTCGAGCGCATTGACCGCCAGGCGCAGCCGCCTTCGAAGTCGTAATCCCCCTGTTTCCCAATCCACCCCTGAGGAAAACCGGCCGGCAGTGAACCCTGCCTGGGGTTGTCCAAGCTCCCTTTGATCGAGAGTCATTTCCAGATTTCCGACACGTCAAGGGGTGTTTTGACGGGTTCCCGCGTGTATTGCCCTGCAAGACGGAGCAACAGGCCATGACCGTGGAAGAAAACCCAAGAGACTGATAGCGAGTTGACCCCGGCCAGGGGATGCTCTAGGTTGCTTGAGGTAAGCGAATGATCCGCGTTGCCCAAAAGCTTCGGCCGGGATTCTCCCTTCAAACTTGGGAAGCCAGACATCCCAACACCCTTTTGGGTTTTGGGGCGCTCCAACGACTCCTGTTGCATTGTCGGTAGTTGGCCTCTTTCTTTCAAACCACCCCCCGAACGTGGGTGCCGACTGCCAACAAAAATGAGACACCCACATTTGTGTTGCGGCAGCACCGGGCAGCACTCTCGGCGCCGGCCGAGCTCGCCGGCCGGTTTCCCCGGTTTTTGGGTTTTCACGCTGGGGCTTTTTGGAAGCCCCATGCACAGCTCGCTGCCCGAGTGGGTCAGATTTCAGGAATTGTGCCTGCGACTGAAGACTGTGGGCTCGTTTTCTGCTAAAAAAAAGATGCAAACTTGAAGAAGTAGGGCTCAGCCTTCGCAGTCTCCTTTCTGAAAGTGTGATGAGTGATGGGTGTGCCTCTCATAGCCCGAGGCTGGCATGCGGCCCATTCGGCGGAATTCGTCTCACGTCTCTTGCGTTGCTCGTCCGAAGGGGGAAGTTCGGTTTAAGGTCGCCATCAGGTTCCGCGGCTCTCGCGCAAGAACAAGCTCAACTCAAAGCTTTTCCCGCTCGCTGATCGAAATGAGCAAGGAGAAGACCAAGCACCATGCTAGAATCTCTTAGAAGCATACTGTTTCAAGCACAGCAAGCACCAGACTTGAACATGGCCCTGGCAGGGGCACGGTCCAACACATTCCGTGTTCAAGATTGGGCCCCCTATTTCTCCAGGTTCTCCAGGGCAGAAGACTGCGCCGAAAAATCGTCCTTCCCCCTCATCGTCTGCGCGGGCGGATCCATCAGTGGTGAAACCCACTTCTCTCCCAGGCAGGTGGCTGACCTGGTGAGTCGCACATGGCAAAGATTAAAAATCTAGGGGGCCCATTGGATACTAGGTGTCATGATGTTTCCCTCCTGAAACAGTCCGAGGGTCCCGAGTTTCGACAAAGGGCTCAGGTTGCTTGGCATATAGGTCAAGGCTTGCTCCGGGTCCCATCTGCTGGGAGGACAGCGACGATTCGGTCTGGCACCCCCTCAATAGCGCCATCATTGGTCCAAAAAAGGAGGCCATGTGTTCATCCGCGTGGGTTGGTTGTTTTCGTGGGGCCTGGCTGTTTCGCTTGAGACGTGTTGTTGATTTTTTACTCTTTTGACGATTGAAAGGCACCGCAGCCCCACAAGATTTGAACATGACCAACCCATTTGGTCGAGGACATGGCTGAGCCCGTGCTGCGTGGGTAATCGGCGGGTTGGAACGTGTTTTCCGAACTACGCAAGTCCCTTAGTTGACATAACAACTCTAACACCGCCTTGATGGCCGAGTATTCACCCGCAGGCAACCGTGTGGCGATTCGAGCGCGAGTCATGCTTCCAGAATCGCCTTCAACTCCGTTTTGGTACACACTCATATTTACCCTTCGTGGGTAAGCAGAACAATTTGCATTTTGTAAGAGGGGTACCCCCTGTGTCAGCTGGACAAAAAGCAAAGATATCGAATTGAGTTAGCCGAGGAGGGCTAAGCAAACCAAGCTGAGGCTGCTTGGAACGGGGCTGGACTAAGACAAACTTGGGAGCCCTTTGCCTTTTGATAGTGGTTGAGGGAAGTGATACATCCAGAAGTCAACCTTGAAGGCTCTCCCCTTGACTTGCGGAAAAGAAACCCAGACCACAAAGTTCCCCACCTGCTTTCCCACCATGGAAGTGCTTCTGCTTTGTGTGGCTTCCAACCTCGCCCTTGCGGACTGCCTTTTCCGCTCGGCTCCAGACAACTTGTGGCTCGGGCCGCGTGTCGAATCGGTGCGATGATGTTGTCTGTAAGGTCGGGGATCTGAGAGACGTGGGAGGGTACACAGGAGGAGAAACGAGGGAATTGGGCATGTTGCACCCTCGTTGCTTGTTCCAGGAAACGGGGTTTAGCAATGTTGAGACACCCGCATTTGTTTGTAGGACCAGATGTGTAGGAAGATACCATACTGGACCATACTTTCCAGAAGGTGGTCCTTTGCACCGAGTCATTCAGGCTGAGAGGGGAAGGCAACGAACACAGCGGACGTTGGTCGGGTCATTCTGAGGGAGTCCAGGATGAGCGCACGGGCACTTGCCACACCGTTTCAAAGGTCATTGGCGAGAGCGGAGTAGCCGCCTTTTTCAGGCTTGAGCGAAGCCGGTCTTTGTATGCGGTTTGCATGCGTGAGATGGGGTCTCCGGCAGAGGCATGAACTCCATAATATGTGTCAACCAATTTTGCGATGTTCGTCTTGTGAGCCAATCCACTCGAATACGGGCGCCAAGCAAATGACGTGGCGCATTGCTGAGTGGATGCTCTGATGATCTGGTCACATGGCTGCTCTCTCTGCACGTGAACAGACAACTAGAAGTTTCCAGCTCATCGGCCTGAACTTCATCCAAGGTCTTGGATTGAACGCCTTCCTTGTGAGCCTCTTGACACAACTCCAATGCCGGGGGCTTCACTAATTGTGTCAAAACAAGGCAGATTGTGCCAAAGTCGTTGGAACTAGGCCGCTGCCATTCCATCAGCACCGAGTTCCGCTGGCTGTGAGCACTAGATGTGCCCAGCCTTGGCTTTTCACGGTGCTCACAAGCTGCGCAGTTTGCGCTCCCCTCTGCGTGCCCCTGGGAGTAGTTTGTTGCTCGACCGGGGGATATCCTGGAGGTGCACACTGTAAGGCCGCAGCTCGCAAGCATGGCTGATAGAATCTACAGTATGGCCATCCCTTTTGTTGTAACTGTCATGGTCGGTTTCTAGAGACTTGAAGTAGGATGTGGCCACTGAAGATCCTTAAGAGTTCAGTGTGTTTTACATCAGGCCAGACAAATTATTACAAGCCCACACAGCTCGTCCTGAATTTGCAGTTGTTGACTTCATGACGCCCCTATTTTGATATTTGTCACCATTCTTTGACCCTTCAAGAATTGACCATGGCTCAAGCAAAGATTGAACTTCAATCAAACCCTACTTTGGAGTATGATGAGATTTTGGTGAGTGTAAATTAGCATTAAGCCAGGCAGACGTGTAGGCACCGAGCTTGCGACCTTGTCATTCTAAACAGGTGAGCGCAAGATGGAGGGCAGGCCATGCGGATTGTAATGTTGGAGGCCGCCGCGGGATGCGGCAAGCTTTTGCAGCAATGAGCGCGCAAGCGCCAAGAAGGCACACATTGTCTAGATGTTGGATCTGTTGGCCGGGGCGAACAGATGGAGCTTGGTGTCGCGTGTGACCTTGAAACTGAAGCTTCTGGACTCGGGAGCTTTTGGACTTGTTGAAACTCGGGCTCTTCACGTCTTGGAGGCTGGCGCGGAGGAACGCCGGGTTTGGTGGATTGCGTGGAGCCTGACGGGGCTCCAATGGTGCTGCTGAGGTTGTCAAAGGCCTCGCAGTGCCAAAGAATGCCAAGCCACACCATGCCAAAACATACAAAGCCATGTTGAGCCGTATCAAGCTATGCTCAGCCATGCTGAAGTCGTTGGAACTAGGCCGCTGCCATTCCATCAGCACCGCGTTCCGCTGGCTGTGAGCACTAGATGTGCCCAGCCTTGGCTTTTCACGGTGCTCACAAGCTGCGCAGTTTGCGCTCCCCTCTGCGTGCCCCTGGGAGTAGTTTGTTGCTCGACCGGGGGATATCCTGGAGGTGCACACTGTAAGGCCGCAGCTCGCAAGCATGGCTGATAGAAGCTACAGTATGGCCATCCCTTTTGTTGTAACTGTCATGGTCGGTTTCTAGAGACTTGAAGTAGGATGTGGCCACTGAAGATCCTTAAGAGTTCAGTGTGTTTTACATCAGGCCAGACAAATTATTACAAGCCCACACAGCTCGTCCTGAATTTGCAGTTGTTGACTTCATGACGCCCCTATTTTGATATTTGTCACCATTCTTTGACCCTTCAAGAATTGACCATGGCTCAAGCAAAGATTGAACTTCAATTAAACCCTACTTTGGAGTATGATGAGATTTTGGTGAGTGTAAATTAGCATTAAGCCAGGCAGACGTGTAGGCACCGAGCTTGCGACCTTGTCATTCTAAACAGGTGAGCGCAAGATGGAGGGCAGGCCATGCGGATTGTAATGTTGGAGGCCGCCGCGGGATGCGGCAAGCTTTTGCAGCAATGAGCGCGCAAGCGCCAAGAAGGCACACATTGTCTAGATGTTGGATCTGTTGGCCGGGGCGAACAGATGGAGCTTGGTGTCGCGTGTGACCTTGAAACTGAAGCTTCTGGACTCGGGAGCTTTTGGACTTGTTCGGGCTCTTCACGTCTCGGAGGCTGGCGCGGAGGAACGCCGGGTTTGGTGGATTGCGTGGAGCCTGACGGGGCTCCAATGGTGCTGCTGAGGTTGTCAAAGGCCTCGCAGTGTCCCAAAGAATGCCAAGCCACACCATGCCAAAGCATACAAAGCCATGTTGAGCCGTATCAAGCTATGCCATCAGCACCGCGTTCCGCTGGCTGTGAGCACTAGATGTGCCCAGCCTTGGCTTTTCACGGTGCTCACAAGCTGCGCAGTTTGCGCTCCCCTCTGCGTGCCCCTGGGAGTAGTTTGTTGCTCGACCGGGGGATATCCTGGAGGTGCACACTGAAGTGATGGAAGCCGTGAAGGCATTCAGCTGGCGAAGTTTGTCAGCCAGAGAGAGAAGCACTTTTGAGTCGTGAGGCTTAACTCCACCGATCTTCACTGTTCTTTTGGGTTGGTCATGGATATTTTTCCTTGGCGAGATCTGTGATGTGGTAGACAGATTGCCCAACTGCTTGGTTAGTGGATGTGTTTTGCGCCCGGAGTCTACCTCTGCTTATTTGTTGCGACTCCTACCCAGGTTGAGGAGCTTCGGCTGGTTCCTCCACCAGTCGCCAGGCAGGTTTCGGTGGATGCCGATTGCCTTGATACAGCTGCACTTTGCGGAGCAACTTGCGATCCAACACTGCTCACTGGAAAGAAAGTAGAAGACCTTGGCATTTCTATCTCAACATGTGGGGACCAGTCAGGAAGCCAGGTTGGGGTTGTCTTTGTGTTCAGTTTGAGCCAAAGCATTAATGCTTGGCAAGTCACTATAGACTTTCATTTCAATCATTTATGTCGCCAGAAGAGCCGGCTTGGCTCTTGAACATTTGCTGGCCTGCGCTTGGGCAAGCCTTTGGCCCTCGCTTGAAAACATTGGAGGCCCCCTTCCGCCTCCCACCAAATACAACTGATTGAACAACGAACCACACCTCAGCGATCCGCACATGTTGTTTCCAGCTGCGAGTACGTGCTCCAAGTACTTGACTCTCCCCTTTTCGGTGGTGACGGTGGCAGGCTCACTTATCATTCTGACAGAGATTACAGTACATGGGAAGAGATGGCGGAAGGAAATGCTCATTTGTTTCATTATGAAGAAGTGCTTCCCTTCCTACCACTTTCCCAAGGTCTTGTGCGCCAGGTATTCGTTTCAGGAGCGATGCAGATGGTAAGACTGGCCACAAACAATCTCTATTTGGACACATACTCATATTATAGAAAGGAGAGAATGGGCCTGGTGTTTCCGCCTTTGTGCAAAACTCCCGCTTCCAGGCGAGGACAAGGTCCGCCTGGCTTTGGATGCGTCAGCGCGGTGGCCTGGTGTGTAATCACTCACGGTTTTGGGGCAGCGTCATACAAGAGCTTTGCCCCATCAAAACCCTTGGTTTCCTTGCAAGAGCCCGGTCATTCAGAAATGGGCTTCAGACCACCGCTGGTCAGTTTCAGAGCAGGTCAGTTCTTACAGTAGCTTCTTCTCCGACCAGCATGCTACGCTGGTCGGAGAAGGGGTCGCGCAACGCCATCCTTTCGGGTACATTTTGAGCTGGCTCGTGAAGAATCCTTTCATGAACGGTTTCTTGTAGAATGCATCGGATTTGTTTCTAAGCATTGCGAGCCAATCAATCAAAGTGTACCAGGCCAAGTACCTTTATTGGCGGGGGTTCGAGTGTGAAACGGAGGGAAAGCCTGCTTTTTCATTGGAGTTGTATGGGAGCCTGGAGCATAGGAAATACACTTTGCAGCTTTGACCCCCCTGACCTATTGAAGTGTATGTTGAGTGCCGCAAGTTTCGGCTCTTGCCGGGCACTTGTCATTAGGGATCCCAAGATGAAACCAAGTCACTTTGAGCACCAACTTCGGACAGGGCTCAGATCCGAAAGGCTCGCTGTGGCCCAGGTGACGCCCGCCAAGCCGAAGCCAACACAGGACCCGGGGCACTGGGCTGTGAATGGCTGTTGTATAAATCAGGCGCCATTCCCCTCGCGAAGGTTGAAGACCCCTTCCATGAAAGGTCACCCAACGACGCGTGCAAACGGAAGAGGGAAAGCAAGCCACCTCCGCGGCTTAGTTCATGTCCTTGACCTGTCTCAAGTGTGGCTTAGGCTCGACTTGCCAGAGCTTTTGCTTGAGCTTTGAGAAACATTAGGCGAGGAAGGAGCGCTTGTTGGATGTAGAAATGGCGCTCGCGCTGGCTGATAATTCTAATATGGCTTCCGCACAAAAAGTGGGATATGCCCTTTATATAGTGGCTCCATAAGGGTTATACTACAATATAGTAAATATTTAGGAAATGGACACCTTCTCAGAATAGTCCTGCTACCCCCTGCCTCCTGCACGCGCCACCTTCATCGCCCTTGTGCGACAGGAGTGTTTGGCCTGGCAACACTTGACTCTTCTTAATTTTGTGCTGTTTACCGTTGACCGGCAGTTTGGCTCTTTGATTCGTGGGTGGGGGATTACAACCGAGGGCTGCACAGGGATGCCTTTGACAGCTATCCACTTCAATATTTGAGTTTTGTCCTGTGGGGTCGCTTTTCAGGAACCATTTGTCAACTTTGACAGGGATTTCGGAGCGACCCAGCGACCCAGCCTCAGCTCGCTTATCCACCAGGTACGTGAGGAAAGCTTTATTGGGGCAAGGCCTTCATGCCATGGATAGCGCGAGGAGGCGGTCTGCGAGTCACAACGAGCAGACGCCGGGGAAGCGCGACAGGCCATTGGCCGCATGAGGTGTCAGGAACTTGTTGGTGTGAAAAGCGGGCACCAAGGGCAAAACCAAGTGAAGGGATGACCAGTTTTGACACTGCCAGATGTTGAGATGGGGTTTTGTGCTTGCCATAGGAAGCCTAGCTCTGGGTGTACTTTTCTTTGGGAGAAACCTCCCTGCAAGTGCGTGACTGCTGACACATGAAGTTGCCAGGACGTCCGTCAGTTGCTCCGTCTTTCTGGAAGCTCATGTTTTGCCAAGTGCTGCAACCCGCGTGCGGGCCCAAAAGCAATGTTACCCCATACAAGACAACATCTTAACAACGCACGGAATGAGCAACGCAACCACACTTCAAGTTGACCACCCTGCTTGCAGAACATTGTCAGTGCATTGATGAGCAGTTGAGAGTCGGGCTGTGTCTGATAGAAGAACGCGCGGGACACGTTCTTTTTTCTTGCCTTAATTCTCCCAGATCTTCAATCGTGCTTCTTCTTCTTCTTCTTGTTCTTCTTTGTTTTGGAGAGCTGTCCCTTTAAATTCAAATATCAAACACGCGCCCTTTGAGGTGTTCGGCGAAAGTACCTGCAACTCTCGCCGACCGTGCTTGGCAGGCTTGGGTGCTTCGTGTCCAGCCCGGGGAGGCTCCTTGGGGGGTCGTAGGGTTTCGTTGGTGTCATTGTGGAACCAGAGGAGTTTCCTCTACACAACTGCCTGCTTTTGGATCTGTTTGGTGTTGGAGATGTGCTGGAAGATGTCCTCAGTCCGACCACAGGGACACCGTTGGGCGGCACCCAACGATGATTGAACAAAAGGTAGCCCCTCGTCGCATGGCAGAAGGAAGCTCACGCTCAGCGGGGTTGGTAGCATTTTTTTTGAACTTGGGGCCCAAGCTTTTTGACAATCACGAAGCGGGGTGAGAAACAAAGGCCGAGTCTCCCGAATGTATTGCGGCTTCATTTGTGTGTCTGCAGCTGATCTAACCCACAAAATGCAAAGGAGAAAGGCTCCTGACTGACCGGAAGCTGTGTCTGAACTCCAAATATTTTTTGCATTCCCTTGTTGCCGTCGCATGACGCGGGTCCTAGCTTTCGTTTACTCTGAATTTCGGAGAAGCTTTTCTCGGATGTAGCTCTATGGCCTTCCCTGACGTGGTTTTGACACTTCGGATCCGCGAAGCAAAATCGCAGGCCTTGCCGGAGGCGCGTCAGTGATTTGGACGTGGCGCCGCTTCACAGCGAACTGTTGGTAGAGGAACAAGGAGGAAGGCAATCGATGGAGGAACAAGGAGGAAGGCCAAATGACCGAGATAGACCCACAGCCAGCCTGTGCAAGGCATCCGATGGCCAGGTATCTGAGGATGAGGCAGGGGTGATAGAGGTTTGGCCTGTGCTTTTGCCGGATTCGAGTGTTTCAGCGGACCTGTTTGCGTGCGCCGGTCAGAAAATATCAAACACCCAGGGCATATTTATTGCAGTGCCGCAACAGGTTGATTGCGATGGGTCATGATGAAAACCATGTTCATGAGCATTCCAAGAGATAGGCCTTCTCCTGGAATTCGAGCACGGGCCAGTTTGGGCGTGCCTTCGCTCCTTAGTTCTTAGCTGCCCTTTGGATGCTTGGCCAATCAGGCCAGGCATTGCCCACCACGCCCTTGGGAAGCCGAAGGAAGCCACCCCTGAAAAGCAACATGAATTGGCCGCACATACCCTCCCAGCGATTCCATGGAAGTGCACAGACTTGTAGAAAGACTGTCCTCTTGGAAAGGGCCCTTTTGCACTTCCATGTTAGTTGGTGGGAGGGTAGGATCATTCAGCAACGTTTAGAGTGCATCGACAGGGCGGCCACTGGACCAGCGCACAGGAGACGAGCGCAGAGTGCTGGCAGAGGCTCGGGACAGAATGCAGGGATACAAGCGACAGACATTTTGAGACATGCTCAGAATGAGACTTGCGGATACAATTTAAGACAATATTCAATCTGACACAGCTGCAATTCGTTCTTTTGTAGAACTGAGCTGATCCTTCTCGAATTGTTCCAGTTGATTGATACTAACAAGTGGCTCCCTGTGTTTCATCTGTCCAAATGCTCGCCTGTGCGTGTGGATGACGCCTTCGGTTGGGCCTTCCAGGGTTTCCTAAGTGGTCGAGGCACGGCAGCTGGCTGCTCGTCCAAATTTTATTTCGGAATAGAACCGGACATATTTCCTTAACTGTTGCAAACTAAACCATCAGTTCCAACATCTTGGGTCCGCATTCCAACTGGGTCACCGGTGGCACAAGCTGCAACCGGCTTTGCACAACTTGCAAGCGGCGACCAGCTCTAACATGCTTTTTGACAACTGGTTCAGCCGCACAAATGGTGGTTTTCCTTGTCTCGTCCCCAAACCAAGCTCCAAAGGGCAATCTTCAACAAACTCACCCAGCTGGCTCCCACCATTCGCAGGCCCGGCCGAGTGGGGCCGAGAGCTGCTTCGAGCTGGTCGCCGGGGCCTCGAAGCCGGTTCTCATGGCCACGGGGCTTCCAAGAAATCTCAGTTTTCCATAAGGTTCACTAGATACGGATGACGAGGGTCTTCCAAGCCAACTTATGATTGTGTTCACCACGGCCGCCGCAAATGGACATGAACATGGAGGTGTGGTGGTCGACTACTTGCCTTAGGGGGACCAACTTCAGCTTGCCGATGGCATGATGGCACTGATCTAGTTTCCTGGTGGTGTGTCAAGGGCAAGACTAGGCGCACTGGATCCAACTATCCAAGTAAGGCCTTCTCCCACTCTGGCTCGCTCTCCTGGAGAAATGCAGAAACATCCGTTCAGGGCAAGGTTTAGTCCAGACTCAATGTCACGCCCCCCCGCGTCCATCACTTATGCCCACCCACCAAGGCTTCCCCGGCTGCTTGGCTGTGACAGAGCGTCGTCGCAGACGGCGTGCCATGAAGCAACAGCGAAAGAGGAAGCTACGGCCAAAGAAGCGCAGCGCCAGGCTGCAGCGCGGACCATCCAGTCCTTCTTCCGAGAGTGGGCAGCAGCCAAAGAGGCGGCGGCCAAAGAAGCGCAGCGCCAGGCTGCAGCACGGACCATCCAGTCCTTCTTCCGAGAGTGGGCAGCAGCCAAAGAGGGGGCGGCCAAAGAAGCGCAGCGCCAGGCTGCAGCACTAACCATCCAGTCCTCCTTCCGAGAGTGGGCAGCAGCCAAAGAGGCGGCGGCCAAAGAAGCGCAGCAGGCTGCAGCGCGGACCATCCAGTCCTTCTTTGGGCAGCAGCCGGACCATCCAGGCTGTCCAGCGAGAGTGGGCAGCAGCCAAGAGGAGGCGGCCAAGCGCAGCGCCAGGCTGAGAGTGGGCAGCAGCCAAAGAGGCGGCGGCCAAAGAAGCGCAGCGCCAGGCTGCAGCACGGACCATCCAGTCCTTCTTCCGAGAGTGGGCAGCAGCCAAAGAGGCGGCGTCCAAAGAAGCGCAGCGCCAGGCTGCAGCGCGGACCGTCCAGTCCTTCTTCCGAGAGTGGGCAGCAGCCAAAGAGGCAGCGGCCAAAGAAGTGCAGCGCCAGGCTGCAGCACTAACCATCCAGTCCTCCTTCCGAGAGTGGGCAGCAGCCAAAGAGGAGGCGGCCAAAGAAGCGCAGTGCCAAGCTGCAGCGACGACCATCCAGTCCTCCTTCCGAGAGTGGGCAGCAGTTAAAGAGGAGGCGGCCAAAGAAGCGCAGCGCCAGGCTGCAGCGCGGACCATCCAGTCCTCCTTCCGAGAGTGGGCAGCAGCCAAAGAGGGAGCGGCCAAAGAAGCGCAGCGCCAGGCTGCAGCACTAACCATCCAGTCCTCCTTCCGAGAGTGGGGAGTAGCCAAAGAGGAGGCGGCCAAAGAAGCACAGTGCCAGGCTGCAGCCTCCTTCCGAGAGTGGGCAGCAGCCAAAGAGGAGGCGGCCAAAGAAGCGCAGCGCCAGGCTGCAGCGCGGACCATCCAGTCCTTCTTCCGAGAGTGGGCAGCAGCCAAAGAGGGGGCGGCCAAAGAAGCGCAGCGCCAGGCTGCAGCCAAAGAGGAGGCGGCCAAAGAAGCGCAGCGCCAGGCTGCAGCGCGGACCATCCAGTCCTCCTTCCGAGAGTGGGCAGCAGCTACAGAGGGGGCGGCCAAAGAAGCGCAGCGTCAGGCCAAAGAGGGGGCGGCCAAAGAAGCGCAGCTTCAGGCTGCAGCGCGGACCATCCAGTCCTCCTTCCGAGTCGGCGAGACTGTGGAGCGCAAGATTGCTCTGGAACCTGCAGAGAACAGTCAGGCGTGCTAGGGTCTGATTGATTTTGTGTTTCCCGATGCATGTTCCTTTGGGCGTTGAACATCTTTAACCAGCATGTGAATTCGCCGAGAGAGGTGTATGAGATGAGCTTGGCTGAATTTTGCACTGGCTGAAAATTGCATTGGCTGAAAATTGCAGGCTTTGCATGCTTGAAATTTGTTTTTTCGAGGCCCATGGAGAAGTCTCAGCGCTGCAAGACGAGTGGGCAGACTGGGATGAGAACTTCGATGAAGAGGCCAGGCGATGCTTGAACCCTTTGCTCGGCAGTACCTTGGAGTAGCTCGATACAGCAGGAAGTCACAAAGAAAGGGCGCGCAGTTGGTCATTACTTCTTCTTTTTCAAGTGATGTCTTGGGGAGCAGCCCACACATGTTATGCCTTGTCCATAGGAGGCGACTCCACAAAACCGGGATTGGACAGTTCGCTGAATCATTATATTTTCCTCATGGATCACATGGATCAGAATAACTGAGCCCCTGTCAGCCCAAAACCAACAACAACAACACGAGAGCATGCACGCCTACGGCGAGTCTACTTTTGCCAAATGGGCAGCGAGATGGGAGTTGTTTGCCGCCGATCCAAATGAGTCACTCAGAGCATTGTCGATAAAGTTGGTCAGCCCAAAAACATGGCGGAACAAGTCAAGTTTCCCACAGGAACCAAACGGGCAACCGACATACGGTGGTAACTGGTCAAAGCGCAGCCAGGGCACGATGCCGGAACCGTGGGCGCCCAAAACCAAGGCTCGCGGGGCCATGCGCGGGGCGGGGGGGGGGTTCTTGAGCTGCTTGGTCTCTTTCGTTTGACCTTCCGAACGCTGAACTCCTCTACCTTTCGGACGAGAATGTCTGAAGGGGCAAAGTCGGGATGTAGCTGATCAACTGATTCAAGCTTGAAACTTGGTATCTTGGCGATTGGGTTTTCATTTGAGTTTTGAATTTGTTGTTCTATGTTTTCCCGCGGGCTGTGCTCTTGCGCTCTCGCACAGAGATTGGTTTTGAATCGCAGGGCTTCAAGCGTCAACATGTCACCCACCCCCCGTTCAGAAGAGGTTCATCTTGCAAAATGTGGGCTTGGGTCAGGAACCTCTCCTTCACAGGATGTGCCAAGAGGTAACTTGAAGGGTTTAAGCAGGGAAATCAAGCGTTGCCTCGATGCAGCGCTGACCAGCCAGGGCTTCCTGCGTGACTGGGCATCACATCAGTGCCATGCAACGGAGGAAGCAGCAGCCAAAGAGGCGGCAGCCATTGAAGCGCGGCGCCAAGCCGCAGCCCTAACTATCCAGTCCTTCTTCCGAGACTGGGCAGCAGCCAAAGAGGGGGCGGCCAAAGAAGCGCAGCGCCAGGCTGCAGCACTAACCATCCAGTCCTCCTTCCGAGAGTGGGCAGCAGCTAAAGAGGGGGCGGCCAAAGAAGCGCAGCGCCAGACAATCCAGTCCTCTTTCCGAGAGTGGGCAACAGCCAAAGAGGGGGCGGCCAAAGAAGCGCAGCGCCAGGCTGCAGCACTAGCCATCCAGTCCTCCTTGCGAGAGTGGGCAGCCAAAGAGGAGGCGGCCAAAGAAGCGCAGCGACTAACCATCCAGTCCTCCTTCCGAGAGTGGGCAGCAGCCAAAGAGGAGGCGGCCAAAGAAGCGCAGCGCCAGGCTGCAGCACGGACCATCCAGTCCTCCTTCCGAGAGTGGGCAGCAGCCAAAGAGGCGGCGGCCAAAGGCGCGCAGCGCCAGGCTGCAGCGCGGACCATCCAGTCCTCCTTCCGAGTCTGGCTGTCGTGGCAGGCAGCGTGCCAGGCATCCACGAACACAGCAGAGTGCCAGGTAGGTTCGAAAGTCGGCGAGACTGTGGAGCGCAAGATTGCTCTGGAACCTGCAGAGAACAGTCAGGCGTGCTAGGGTCTGATTGATTTTGTGTTTCCCGATGCATGTTCCTTTGGGCGTTGAACATCTTTAACCAGCATGTGAATTCGCCGAGAGAGGTGTATGAGATGAGCTTGGCTGAATTTTGCACTGGCTGAAAATTGCATTGGCTGAAAATTGCAGGCTTTGCATGCTTGAAATTTGTTTTTTCGAGGCCCATGGAGAAGTCTCAGCGCTGCAAGACGAGTGGGCAGACTGGGATGAGAACTTCGATGAAGAGGCCAGGCGATGCTTGAACCCTTTGCTTGGCAGTACCTTGGAGTAGCTCGATACAGCAGGAAGTCACAAAGAAAGGGCGCGCAGTTGGTCATTTCTTCTTCTTTTTCAAGTGATGTCTTGGGGAGCAGCCCACACATGTTATGCCTTGTCCATAGGAGGCGACTCCACAAAACCGGGATTGGACAGTTCGCTGAATCATTATATTTTCCTCATGGATCACATGGATCAGAATAACTGAGCCCCTGTCAGCCCAAAACCAACAACAGCAACACGAGAGCATGCACGCCTACGGCGAGTCTACTTTTGCCAAATGGGCAGCGAGATGGGAGTTGTTTGCCGCCGATCCAAATGAGTCACTCAGAGCATTGTCGATAAAGTTGGTCAGCCCAAAAACATGGCGGAACAAGTCAAGTTTCCCACAGGAACCAAACGGGCAACCGACATACGGTGGTAACTGGTCAAAGCGCAGCCAGGGCACGATGCCGGAACCGTGGGCGCCCAAAACCAAGGCTCGCGGGGCCATGCGCGGGGCGGGGGGGGGGGGGTTCTTGAGCTACTCGGTCTCTTTCGTTTGACCTTCCGAACGCTGAACTCCTCTACCTTTTGGACGAGAATGTCTGAAGGGGCAAAGTCGGGATGTAGCTGATCAACTGGAAACTTGGTATCTTGGCGATTGGGTTTTCATTTGAGTTTTGAATTTGTTGTTCTATGTTTTCCCGCGGGCTGTGCTCTTGCGCTCTCGCACAGAGATTGGTTTTGAATCGCAGGGCTTCAAGCGTCAACATGTCACCCACCCCCCGTTCAGATTCATCTTGCAAAATGTGGGCTTGGGTCAGGAACCTCTCCTTCACAGGATGTGCCAAGAGGTAACTTGAAGGGTTTAAGCAGGGAAATCAAGCGTTGCCTCGATGCAGCGCTGACCAGCCAGGGCTTCCTGCGTGACTGGGCAGCAGCCAAAGAGGGGGCGGCCAAAGAAGCGCAGCGCCAGGCTGCAGCACTAACCATCCAGTCCTCCTTCCGAGAGTGGGCAGCAGCCAAAGAGGCGGCGGCCAAAGAAGCGCAGCGCCAGGCTGCAGCGCGGACCATCCAGTCCTTCTTCCGAGAGTGGGCAGCAGCCAAAGAGGCGGCGTCCAAAGAAGCGCAGCGCCAGGCTGCAGCGCGGACCGTCCAGTCCTTCTTCCGAGAGTGGGCAGCAGCCAAAGAGGGGGCGGCCAAAGAAGCGCAGCGCCAGGCTGCAGCGCGGACCATCCAGTCCTCCTTCCGAGAGTGGGCAGCAGCCAAAGAGGAGGCGGCCAAAGAAGCGCAGCGCCAGGCTGCAGCGCGGACCATCCAGTCCTCCTTTCGAGAGTGGGCAGCAGCCAGAGAGGGGGCAGCCAAAGAAGCGCAGCGCCAGGCTGCAGCGCGGACCATCCAGTCCTCCTTCCGAGAGTGGGCAGCAGCAAAAGAGGGGGCGGCCAAAGAATCGCAGCGCCAGGCTGCAGCGCGGACCATCCAGTCCTCCTTCCGAGAGTGCGCAGCAGCCAAAGAGGAGGCGGCCAAAGAAGCGCAGCGCCAGGCTGCAGCGCGGACCATCCAGTCCTCCTTCCGAGAGTGGGCAGCAGCCAAAGAGGGGGCGGCCAAAGAAGCGCAGCGCCAGGCTGCAGCGCGGACCATCCAGTCCTCCTTCCGAGTCTGGCTGTCGTGGCAGGCAGCGTGCCAGGCAGCCACGAAAACAGCAGAGTGCCAGGTAGGTTCGAAAGTCGGCGAGACTGCGGAGCGCAAGATTGCTCTGGAACCTGCAGAGAACAGTCAGGCGTGCTAGGGGCTGCTTAATGTTCTGTTTCCCGCTGATCTTTAACCAGCATGTGAGTTCGCCGAGAGAGGTGTATGAGATGAGCTTGGCTGAATGTTGCATTGGCTGAAAATTGCATTGCCTGCATTTTGCAGGCTTAGCATTCTGGAACATTTGTTTTTCGAGGCCCATGAAGAAGTCTCAGCGCTGCAAGACGAGTGGGCAGACTGGGAAGAAAGGGCGCGCAGTTGGTCATTTCTTCTCCTTTGCCAGTGATGTCTTGCCTGGCTTTGTTGGGGAGCAGCCACTCCACAAAACCGGGATTGGACAGTTCGCTGAATCATCATATTTTCCTCATTGATCAGAATAGCTGAGCCCCTGTCAGCCCAAAACCAAAAGCAACACGAGAGCATGCTCGCCTACGGCGAGTCTACTTTTGCCAAATGGGCAGCGAGATGGGAGTTGTTTGCCGCCGATCCAAATGAGTCACTCAGAGCACTGTCGATAAAGTTGGTCAGCCCAAAAACATGGCGGAACAAGTCAAGTTTCCCACAGGAACCAAACGGGCAACCGACATATGGTGGTAACTGGTCAAAGCGCAGCCAGGGCACGATGCCGGAACCGTGGGCGCCCAAAACCAAGGCTCGCGGGGCCATGCGCGGGGCGGGGGGGGGGGTTCTTGAGCTGCTTGGTCTCTTTCGTTTGACCTTCCGAACGCTGAACTCCTCTACCTTTCGGACGAGAATGTCTGAAGGGGCAAAGTCGGGATGTAGCTGATCAACTGATTCAAGCTTGAAACTTGGTATCTTGGCGATTGGGTTTTCATTTGAGTTTTGAATTTGTTGTTCTATGTTTTCCCGCGGGCTGTGCTCTTGCGCTCTCGCACAGAGATTGGTATTGAAACGCAGGGCTTCAAGTGTCAACATGTCGCCCACCCCCCGTTCAGAAGAGGTCTTGGAAAATGTGGGCTTGGGTCAGGAACCTCTCCTTGACAGGATGTGCCAAGAAGTAACTTGAAGGGTTTAAGCAGGGAAATCAAGCGTTGCCTCGATGCAGCGCTGACCAGCCAGGGCTTCCTGCGTGACTGGGCATCACATCAGTGCCATGCAGCAACGGAGGAAGCAGCAGACAAAGAGGCGGCAGCCAATGAAGCGCAGCGCCAAGCCGCAGCCCTAACCATCCAGTCCTTCTTCCGAGACTGGGCAGCAGCCAAAGAGGAGGCGGCCAAAGAAGCGCAGCGCCAGGCTGCAGCGCGGACCATCCAGTCCTCCTTCCGAGAGTGGGCAGCAGCCAAAGAGGATGCGGCCAAAGAAGCGCAGCGCCAGGCTGCAGCACAAACCATCCAGTCCTCCTTGCGAGAGTGGGCAGCCAAAGAGGAGGCGGCCAAAGAGGCGCAGCGCCAGGCTCCAGCACTAACCATCCAGTCCTCCTTCCAAGAGTGCGCAGCAGCCAAAGAGGAGGCGGCCAAAGAAGCGCAGCGCCAGGCTGCAGCGCGGACCATCCAGTCCTCCTTCCGAGAGTGGGCAGCAGCCAAAGAGGGGGCGGCCAAAGAAGCGCAGCGCCAGGCTGCAGCGCGGACCATCCAGTCCTCCTTCCGAGTCTGGCTGTCGTGGCAGGCAGCGTGCCAGGCAGCCACGAAAACAGCAGAGTGCCAGGTAGGTTCGAAAGTCGGCGAGACTGTGGAGCGCAAGATTGCTCTGGAACCTGCAGAGAACAGTCAGGCGTGCTAGGGTCTGCTTAATGTTCTGTTGATTGTGTCTTTTGGCGTTGAACATCTTTAACCAGCATGTGAGTTCGCCGAGAGAGGTGTATGAGATGAGCTTGGCTGAATTTTGCATTGGCTGAAAATTGCATTGGCTGCATTTTGCAGGCTTTGCATTCTTGACATTTGTTTTTTTCGAGGCCCATGAAGAAGTCTCAGCGCTGCAAGACGAGTGGGCAGACTGGGATGAGAACTTCGATGAAGAGGCCAGGCGATGCTTGAACCCTTTGCTTGGCAGTACCTTGGAGTAGCTCGATACAGCAGGAAGTCACAAAGAAAGGGCGCGCAGTTGGTCATTTCTTCTTCTTTTTCAAGTGATGTCTTGGGGAGCAGCCCACACATGTTATGCCTTGTCCATAGAGGAGGCGACTCCACAATGCCGGAAAAGACAGTTCGCTGAATCATTATATTTTCCTCATGGATCACATGGATCAGAATAACTGAGCCCCTGTCAGCCCAAAACCAACAACAACAACACGAGAGCATGCACGCCTACGGCGAGTCTACTTTTGCCAAATGGGCAGCGAGATGGGAGTTGTTTGCCGCCGATCCAAATGAGTCACTCAGAGCATTGTCCATAAAGTTGGTTAGCCCAAAAACATGTCGGAACAAGTCAAGTTTCCAACAGGAAGCAAGTGGGCAACCGACATGTTGTGCGCATTTCAATTGCGGTAACTGGTCAAAGCGCAGCCAGGGCACGATGCCGGAACCGTGGGCGCCCAAAACCAAGGCTCGCGGGGCCATGTGCGGGGCGGGGGGGGGGGTTCTTGAGCTACTTGGTCTCTTTCGTTTGACCTTCCGAACGCTGAACTCCTCTACCTTTCGGATGAGAATGTCTGAAGGGGCAAAGTCGGGATGTAGCTGATCAACTGCTTCAAGCTTGAAACTTGGTATCTTGGCGATTGGGTTTTCATTTGGGTTTTGAATTTGTTGTTCTATGTTTTCCCGCGGGCTGTGCTCTTACGCTCTCGCAAAGAGATTGGTTTTGAAACGCAGGGCTTCAAGTGTCAACATGTCACCCACCCACCGTTCAGAAGAGGTCTTGGAAAATGTGGGCTTGGGTCAGGCACCTCTCCTTGACAGGATGTGCCAAGAGGTAACTTGAAGGGTTTCAGCAGGGAAATCAAGCGTTGCCTCGATGCAGCGCTGACCAGCCAGGGCTTCCTGCGTGACTGGGCATCACATCAGTGCCATGCAGCAACGGAGGAAGCAGCAGCCAAAGAGGAGGCGGCCAATGAAGCGCAGCGCCAAGCCGCAGCCCTAACCATCCAGTCCTTCTTCCGAGACTGGGCAGCAGCCAAAGAGGAGGCGGCCAAAGAAGCGCAGCGCCAGGCTGCAGCTCGAGAGTGGGCAGCAGCCAAAGAGGAGGCGGCCAAAGAAGCGCAGCGCCAGGCTGCAGCACTAACCATCCAGTCCTCCTTGCGAGAGTGGGCAGCCAAAGAGGAGGCGGCCAAAGAAGCGCAGCGCCAGGCTGCAGCGCGGACCATCCAGTCCTCCTTTCGAGAGTGGGCAGCAGCCAACGAGGGGGCGGCCAAAGAAGCGCAGGGCCAGGCTGCAGCGCGGACCATCCAGTCCTCCTTCCGAGGCTGGGTGTCGTGGCAGGCAGCGTGCCAGGCAGCCACGAAAACAGCAGCGTGCCAGGCAGCCACGAACACAGCAGAGTGCCAGGTAGGTTGGAAGGTCGGCGAGACTGTGGAGCGCAAGATTGCTCTGGAACCTGCAGAGAACAGTCAGGCGTGCTAGGGTCTGATTGATTTCGTGTTTCCCGATGCATGTTCCTTTGGGCGTTGAACATCTTTAACCAGCATGTGAATTCGCCGAGAGAGGTGTATGAGATGAGCTTGGCTGAATTTTGCATTGGCTGAAAATTGCATTGGCTGAATTTTGCAGGCTTTGCATGCTTGAAATTTGTTTTTTTCGAGGCCCATGGAGAAGTCTCAGCGCTGCAAGACGAGTGGGCAGACTGGGATGAGAACTTCGATGAAGAGGCCAGGCGATGCTTGAACCCTTTGCTTGGCAGTACCTTGGAGTAGCTCGATACAGCAGGAAGTCACAAAGAAAGGGCGCGCAGTTGGTCATTTCTTCTTCTTTTCCAAGTGATGTCTTGGGGAGCAGCCCACACATGTTATGCCTTGTCCATAGAGGAGGCGACTCCACAATGCCGGAAAAGACAGTTCGCTGAATCATTATATTTTCCTCATGGATCACATGGATCAGAATAACTGAGCCCCTGTCAGCCCAAAACCAACAACAACAACAACACGAGAGCATGCACGCCTACGGCGAGTCTACTTTTGCCAAATGGGCAGCGAGATGGGAGTTGTTTGCCGCCGATCCAAATGAGTCACTCAGAGCATTGTCCATAAAGTTGGTTAGCCCAAAAACATGGCGGAACAAGTCAAGTTTCCCACAGGAACCAAACGGGCAACCGACATATGGTGGTAACTGGTCAAAGCGCAGCCAGGGCACGATGCCGGAACCGTGGGCGCCCAAAACCAAGGCTCGCGGGGCCATGCGCGGGGCGGGGGGGGGGGTTCTTGAGCTGCTTGGTCTCTTTCGTTTGACCTTCCGAACGCTGAACTCCTCTACCTTTCGGACGAGAATGTCTGAAGGGGCAAAGTCGGGATGTAGCTGATCAACTGCTTCAAGCTTGAAACTTGGTATCTTGGCGATTGGGTTTTCATTTGGGTTTTGAATTTGTTGTTCTATGTTTTCCCGCGGGCTGTGCTCTTACGCTCTCGCAAAGAGATTGGAAGCGCAGGGCTTCAAGCGTCAACATGTCACCCACCCCCCGTTCAGAAGAGGTCTTGGAAAATGTGGGCTTGGGTCAGGAACCTCTCCTTGACAGGATGTGCCAAGAGGTAACTTGAAGGGTTTCAGCAGGGAAATCAAGCGTTGCCTCGATGCAGCGCTGACCAGCCAGGGCTTCCTGCGTGACTGGGCATCACATCAGTGCCATGCAGCAACGGAAGCAGACAAAGAAGCGCAGCGCTGCCTTGATGTAGCGCTTGCCATTCAGGCGTTGTTCGGGGACACGGCGTCATGGCAGGCGCAGTGCCAGGAAGTTGCGGAAGCAGCCCAGCGTCGCGTCAATGCAGCGCTGACCATCCAGGCATTCTTCCGCAACTGGGCAGTAGCAGCAGCAGCCAACAAGGCAGCAGGCAAAGATGCCCAGCGTCGCGTGGATGCAGCGCTGACCATCCAGGCATTTTTCCGCAACTGGGCAGCAGCAGCAGCCAACAAGGCAGCAGCAGGCAAAGGAGCCCAGCGTCGCGCGGATGCAGCGCTAGCTATCCAGACATTCTTCCGCAACTGGGCAAAAGCAGCAGCAGCACGCAAAGAGGCCCAGCGTCGCGTGGATGCAGCGCTGACTATCCAGACATTCTTCCGCAACTGGGCAGTAGCAGCAGCGGCCAACAAGGCAGCAGCAGGCAAAGAGGCCCAGCGTCCCGTGGATGCAGCGCTGACTATCCAGACACTCTTCCGCAACTGGGAAAAAGCAGCAGCAGGCAAAGAGGCCCAGCGTTGCGCGGATGCAGCGCTGACCATCCAGACATTCTTCCGCAACTGGGCAATGGCAGCAGCAGGCAAAGAGGCCCAGCGTCGCGTGGATGCAGCGCTGACCATCCAGGCATTCTTCCGCAACTGGGCCATGGCAGCAGCAGGCAAAGAGGCCCAGCGTCGCGTGGATGCAGCGCTGACCATCCAGGCATTCTTCCGCAACTGGGCAATTGAAGCAGCGGCCAACAAGGCAGCAGCAGGCAAAGAGGCCCAGCGTCGCGTGGATGCAGCGCTGACCATCCAGGCATTCTTCCGCAACTGGGCAAAAGCAGCAGCAGGCAAAGAGGCCCAGCGTCGCGTGGATGCAGCGCTGACCATCCAGGCATTCTTCCGCAACTGGGCAATAGAGGCAGCAGGCAAAGAGGCCCTGCGTCGCGTGGATGCAGCGCTGACCATCCAGGCATTCTTCCGTGACAGAGCATTATGCCAGGCAAAGTGCAAGGCAGCCACGGCAGATGCAGCGCGCCAGACAAGTTTAGCTGCTACAAAAGTCGGCGAGACTGTGGAGCGCAAGATTGTTCCGGAACCTGCAGAGAACAGTCAGGCGTGCCAGGGTCTGCGTGTGTGTGTTTGTGTGTTTACCAGTGGTTGCAGGTTCTTATTGCTATTGAAATGAAATAGCTTTATTTTCCGAATATCATGAACAGATGAGAATGCTTGGCTTGCTGAAGATTTGGCCAAGGCTGGCTTTGGGCTTTTGGTGCTCTTAGTCTTGGCGTGCTCTTTCTTCCCGAGCCTGTTGCATGAATCTCAGGATGAGTACGCGGATTGGGATGAGGAGTATGACGAGGCCAGGCGATGTTTGGACCCTTCGATCCGCGCGTTTCCAAGTTGCTCCTTCAAGCCGCCTCACGGCGCACAGAATCTAGGGGCGGAAATTGGGCAATTCCTTCTTGTTTTCCAGTGCAGCTCTTCCGTGGGCTTCGTGGAGAAGCAGCCAGTGCACTAGAATTGGCCAGCTGACTCTACGGAACTGTGGGCTGTGGGCTTCAGATCAGATTTGACAAATTGAATCGTCCTTTCTGAATTGGCCAAAGTCGACCGGTCAAGAACAAGCCAGAGGCATACTCGGCTGTGTCTACTGCCAACCATGTTGGCTGTGCGTTTGAAGGACCAACCACCTCAAAATGGCCGGTTGTACAAACACATCCCCTTGTGACAAATGTTCGCTAACGTTTCTTTTAGTTAAATCACACCCAGAGCCTAACATTCACCAATCATAATTGCCAATTTGTCCATTAAGGGGTTGTATCGGCATTCTCTCCAGGACGCGATGCCCGAACCGTGGGCACCCAGTACCAAGGCCGGACGCGGTCTTTGTTAACGTTCAACCTTTCACCATAGCGTCCTTTTCAGGTTACCGGGCCATCCACTTTGCCAGAAGGTCACCTATGTTTGGGCGTTTTAAAGGGAAAGGAAAAGCAAACCACAATTCTGGAGGTCTCCGCAAAAAGAGAAGTTTTCATGTTTTGGTGGTCACTTGCTAGAAAGATTGAAGCTTCAGACCTTGTGCAGGGGGCAGCCTTTTTCTTTCTGCCGGGTCCCCGAAAAGAAGCATGCAGGTCGCGTTGAAGGCTCGCTTTAAGTTGATCTGAATTTAGAAGCGACCGTCAATCATCGCCTTTGCTCAGGGGAAGCTGAAGCTGACCTTGTGACAGCTTCCCCAGGCGCGGGATGTCGGTTCTATGGCGCCTGGATGCTGGCAGGTTTCTTGAGGTAACGGATGCTCTCCATAAACTCAAACAAACAGATGGGTGTGTCTTTTTTATCTTCTTCGGGGAACCCCCTTCAATATGATGGTTTTCCTTTTGGTTTCCCTCTGAAAACCACCAAAAAGGGGTAGCCTCAAAAAAGACAGACCCAGATTGGCACGCTCCCCTTTTGCAGAGCAGCCCTTTTAAGGACCTGCATCTTCCATAATATTGGCACAAGGTGAAGCTGAACGCACCACCTTGATCCCCAAAGGATGCGCGAAAAGGTCGAGATTCCTTTGGCTCCCTTCTTGGAACCAATCTCCAAGCTGGTTTCCGCCTTCTAACCCCAAACCAGAGGTCTCCTTTGTGGTTGTTTGCGCATAGCGCATAGCGCGCGTTTCATTTGCCCCGTGCGAGGACTTCTTCAAAGGGCCGGGCGGCTTGGCCTTTGAAACGCCAAGGACCCACAGTTTCAACGCCCGCGAAAAAAAGATGCGAGGGAGGGCAGCGAGTGGAGTTTTGGCGCTTTCTGCCGCCCAGCGTTGGCCCTGTGGTCAAACTCTGGGATCTCATAAGGCTCAATCCTTGGAAACGGGCCTTAGATAGCGGAAAGAACGGAAAGCAAGGCATAAACAAGGTTCCTGCGGCCAGCTTCAGGCCACGCGAAAAGTCCCACGGTGTTACATATTTGCTGTTTTCGGGACTGTCCAACATGGGAGGGATTCAAGTCAGTTCATGCCTGTTTGCGGAGCTTTCCAAGACACTCTTGTGCCCGAATGCTCGCACCGCAATCACCTCAAAAGGGCTCCAGCAAACGTCTCGTGTCATGTTTTTCATGCATAGTCGGGCGCGCGAAAGGCTTCCAGCAGCCTGGCTTTGAAGTTTGGGGCGCTTGCGCGTCGTAGTGCTTTGAACTTTGAATCGGACCAATGTTTCGGACGTGCCCTACAGGTTGACTTTTTGTTTATGCTTGTTTTTTCCGGTGAAAAGATGGACTTTCCTCAGCCAAGTGCAGATCCAGGCTACAGGCTTGGTTGCGTCTTGGCTGCCCGCCCACGCTGCACTGGCCATTTGCTCAGCTTTGACAAGAAATCATTGGCCAGGGTCAAGCCAAAGCTCTCGAGCCGAGGCTGAAGCCAAAGCATTTACACAAGGACACCGCAGAACACCCAGTTCTCGCCACTTTAGCCCAACACAACACGCAAGGAACGAAGACATAGCCACGTGCCGTCCAACGCTATTCGCGCATATTGCAATGTCATGGGCGGCGGAGCGAGTCGCCGGGCTGGAACGCGATTCTCCTTTCAAGTCAAGCCCCACCGGTGACGAAACCAATTCAGGATTGTCTCAAGGAGAAACAACATGGTCATGTTGAAAACGACATTCAAGAACCAGCGTGGTTGGATCTCTTGGAGGCATAGCAATCAAAGGTCGCCCAAGAAGCTCTGTGGTGACACCCCGACATGCTGAGATTGGAGCACAAAGGGTCAACACCGAAGATAGTAGTGAGACACATGTCTAGTTGGTGCTCTCAGAAATAAAATATCAAGGTAAGGACGCGGAAGAGAAGCTGCAGAAGGAGGCTGGCCGATGCGCTGGGCAATGCTTGCTGCCAGGATTGGACGTTGAGTTTGAGTTGGCTTGACAAACGCCCGACCAGACCTAGTGGGAGTGCCATGCTCGGACACGGTCTTGGAATTGCATCTCGGCTCTCACTAGTATGCAGGAGTATTTTCCCCTTCATGTCTTACGATTTGACGCTCTCAGTGCTTGATTGGAGTCGGCGCGGCGCGTCGGCACTCGCGCAGGTCAGGGAGTTGCAGGAGAAACAGCGAGAGCTTGAAGCCGCCAAGAGGCAGAGTGCAACCAAATGCAAAGTCTATGTAGAGTCTATGGGTTTGATGGTGTGACGCATGTGACATGTCGAGGAGTGGGGACGCATGTGACGTAAAGCAAAGGCCACCGATTCGGGCTGCCCTTCTTCAGTCCGGGACGTTGGCAAGAGCCCGTCGTATTTTCTGTTTCGGCTGCCTGGGCTGACAGGTTCTTTCCAAGGGACCAAAGGGGCCTCAATTGCGGGCAGAAACTTGGTGTTTCAGGGCGGACACTTGGCTTGGCATGTTTTGGTCGAGCCTTCCGGGCTGCATGGCTCGCAGCCGCCGCTTCGGCGGTTCTCTGAGGGCGCAGGAGAAGTCTTTGCTGGAGGAGCAGAAGCGCCTGGAGGAGTTGCAGCAGGAGCAAGAAAAGGCAGTGGGGAGGGTTGAGCGGGAGATTAGGAGCGAATGACCCACTCCGATCGCACAATCAGCATTTTTATAATACTGGGGCGTGGGTCTCTTCTTGGCAAGGTTCGAAGTTGCGTAGAGCTGGTGTGGGGTTGGGATGCTGTGGGAGGCTGGCAAGGTGAGTGATCACTCAACTGTAGTTACCTCTATTTGAGACGCAACCAAAAATAGGTGCGGCCGCCCAGTTAATTCTTTGCTTGGTTTTGGGTAGACCACGTTAGGGGCAGGTTTTGATTGTGAGGGCCCGAACTTCAGTCAACCCGCAGCTGTGTCCCTATGGGTGCAACAAGTTTTGGTGTTGATTGACTGGTGATATGCCCTTCCCTCGGTAGAAATCAGAAGTTACCTTCTGAGCGCCTTAGGCCCATTGCGCGACTCTCTCCATCCGGGTCGGTGTTGGACTCATAAGACTTTGAACCTGGCTTGGCGGCGTTTGGGGAGCGGCCTCGTATCGCGTGCATGCTTCGAGATTTTCATGGAGCATGTGTGAGCAGGCTTCTCCCTGCCCGCTCTGTGTTGGATTGCCGCGTGCAGCAAGAGTGGCACAACTGTATAACAAACAACGAGGTTTCGAATCTGGTTGCTGGCAAGCAGAGAGTCCTGTCTCATGCGTGAAAGCAAACTGAAGCAAGCCATTGAGTGTGTAACTGCTTTTTCCTACACTATACCTTTGCGCGAAAGCAGGTGAAAGCTGAGCATGAGGCGCGCGCAGCCAAGGCCTCAGCCAGCCTTTGAATAAGCCCTTGTTGCTTGGAAGGGCACCATGCCTCCCACTTGCCATTTAATTCGTGCGCTGCTTTTTTGGTTCCCTGCCAAAGGAGTGGCATACCGGTCACCCGGGCAGCCGAAAAACATCCGAGGCTGAGCTGAGGGAGCTCGCGGAGCAGCGGGACGGGCTGGAGGCGTGGCTCGGGGAGTTTTCGGCGGGTATATATGTGTCTTGTCTACTTTTCTGACGATTGGTTGGCCCCGTGGAATCTTCGGATAGCGAACCACAGAATGGCCATGAGTTCCCCAATGAAACGAGAGCTAAAAGGATCGCAAGGGTACAGTTCTTGGCCTTTGGAAAAGTTTGGCCACCAATTCCAACAGTTGATTCCTGCTTCGCAAGCGGAGGCCAAACGACTTTTCGGCAGCCATCCAAACGACTTTTCCCAGCGTAAGGCCCCTGCGTCTTTGCTCGGCAACATGACACGCGCTGCGAGACTTGCCTCGATTGGGCGCCTCGAGGAGCAGGTGCAGGCGGCCAAACGGGAGGCGGAGCAGCTCAAGGAGCTGCTGCCCGCCCCGGAGCTGCCCGAGGCGGGAGGCGAAGCGGTGGCTCGCTGAGGAGAAACCCTGACGGCTGTGGCGATATTTTTAGGTTGGGACGTCAGGATGGCTTAGAAAGAAGAAGCAGAAAATAGAAGGGGCTGGATTCTTGCGCATTCATATGACTTGATTTGGTTTAGGCGCACTTTGTGGAAGGCGAAACCCACGAAAAACCCAGGTGGAGGGTTCTCTCCATGGTTTGTCGAGGGTACCAAACCACTTCTGGTGGACAGGATGGGTTTGGAAGACTGTCACTTAACACGCCTTGTCCTCCTTGATTGTTGGAAGGTCTGAGCCACACTCAAAGCCTGGTAGACGCAACATGAGGCCCATTGAAGCCCTTTTGATGGTCTGGGTGATCCCTTTCACAATGGGTTTGGATTATGACTCATCTATGAAGGAGGCTCTTATCTTGACACAGCCCTCACCCGAATTTGACAGAACCATGAGCCACACCCTGAACCAACCCATTGCCAAAAGAAAACGCGACACGTGCCACTAACCGAAATCCTTTTCGGTGCCAAGCCCTTCTCGTGTCTTGAGGTTCATGCCCGCTGTTTGTCTTTTAAGGTTGGACCCCCCAAAATGGAATTCGGTGTTCCGTTTTGGGTTCCTTTTAGACACATGCAACATGGAGTACCAACTCAACAAACGGCCCTGGTTGGTTTGTTGGGGAAGGCATAGGGAAGCCCATGTCTCTCTTTTTTTTGGGGGGGGCGAGGGGTCTGGTTTGCGGCGGGCTCATTTGTCAATTTAGGATAGCAGGGTTCGTCACCGGACCCAGCCAGGACACCAAGCGAGCTGAGCTGCAGCAGCTGGAGCAAGAGGCCAAGGCTCGCAGATTCCGGGTGTTTCTCATGGGGTTGTCTCCTTTTGTGAGGGACCGCCTCCCCAAAACAGGTGGTTTCCGTTTGGTTTCCCTAAACCCCGCAAAAGGGCACCCTCAAACAAAACATATAGGAATTGGAGCTCTCTTTTTCTGTCACCGAATATGGGTATGTGACAAAATAGGGGGACGCCTTGTTCGATGGCCATGGTTTCCTTTGGGCTTCCTTTTTGTATAAAAAGGGGATCTATGTTGAGAAGCTTTGCCATCTGAAGGCTCGGGACTGCATGCACCATTCGGCAACACGAAGCGTGGCTGAAGGCAGCTGTTGGAACTCAGAGATGGATGGAAGACCTGCCTACAGGCAGTCACAAGAGCCTAGATTCTCATAGATCCCACGCCATGGTGTTAGCACAGTGGTTCTGAAGTTTGAAAACAGCTCATTGAATCAAATCCCAATGTCCACCATGTTAGTTGGAGAGGTCATTTGAAGATTGCCCTCAGCGAATGTCACAGACTTCAAAACAATGACACAGGCAGCCACCTCAGATGGAAAAGCTTTAAACAAAAGATCAGAAAGGCCTTGCCAGAGAGCAGATCCCGCCATGTTGCCACAAGGCCGTCCACGGGTGACCGCCCCATGCGTGCGCCCTTTCAGCGCCGCGTCGCCGCGCGTTTCGCGCTTCGAGAGCGCAACGCCGGGGTATGGGGCAGAGCACCGCGTGCTGGCGGCGCTGGCCGGAGGCTGCGTGGCTTTGCGCGCCCGAGGGCAAAACGCGGTCATGACCCTGGAGCCCGTGGACGAGAAGAGGCCCGATGCGAAGCTGGAGGAAGTCTTTCTGGTTCAGACACCTCTGGTTTTGCCGCCGCCCTTCCCCGCGTCTCTGGCGCAGCTGCTGCCGAAACACGCCATAGTGGCTGCACGCCTGGCGACCGGGGGCTTCGTGGCCTTCGATTTCACCCCGGAGGCGCTCCGGGTTTCCGTGAAACCACACCCGGTCCAGCTTGGGGTCGTTCCCTTCACCGGGAGCCAGCAAGTTCACCACTCTTGTAGCGTATAGTGCGTAAAAATCTTGCCCCAGTGGATTTGCCCTGTTGGTGTGCGAACTGTGCCAACTGATTCTGGGGTCTCCTTCAATACTATTGTATACTTTAGGATAAACTAAGTTTGACACATCATCAGCGCATCAATTTATTTTGGAGTGTTTCAGATGTGTTAGTTTCATCAGGATTGCAGGGAGGGCAGAACTACGCAGCATGCCCTAAACATTGCAAATGAACCAACCACACCCAATCTCAAGACTGACTGTCCTGTCCCTTGCTTGCAATATTGATATATTGGCGCATCTACCAATATTCAGCTCCTCAAACCCATCCAAGGAAAGTACGTTTCGCCGCCAAAAACCGGTTGCCACACGTCCTCCTTCTCCTTGAGGCCCCGGAGGACCCCGTGGGTGCGCTGCAGCTGCTGCTGGGCGGCTCGGTGCCCGGGCGCCTGGCGCGCCGCAGCATGGCGCGGCTGCCGCGGTCCGCGGTGCGGCTGGGCCGGGCGAAGGCGGAAGCCACGGTTCGGGCGGTGGAGGCCGTTGAGGCGGGGTGCCGAGCCGAGGCGTTGAAACATCAACGTTTTAAGCAGGGGTTCGGAAAGATTTTCGAGTTTCCCTTTTTGGAACCTCCAAAAGTGGCAGTTTCAATGCACACCAGCTGTAAATTGATCAACTTTTGAAGGGGAAATCCAGTGACCCCTGTTCAGCGTCACCTTGTTTGGGCCAAGCTGAGTTTTCCTTGGCATCGGAGTGGTGCTTTAAATGGAACGGAACCGTCTGAAAAAGGGACTTGCGGAGGCAGGTGCCCTTTCTGGCCCGCCCAAATTGGATGAGCAACACTGGCCTGGACTAAAGAAAAGATTTTGCCTGGGGGCACACCAAACATAGAAACATATATCTGTTTTGTTGGTTGTGTTTAACTTCATAAACCTACACCACATCTTCCAGTATTAAAAACGCCACCCGAAAAGCAGCTTCTTTCGCACGGGGAAGTCGATGGCGAAGCCTTTGCGGATTTCCAGGCGGCCTTCGAGCCACGGCTGAGTCTGGGGAAGAACGACTGCAATTCCTACGCGGAGAAGGTGCTTGAGGCTCTGCTGGCAGACAAACAAAAAGGTGTGGAGGAACGGCTCTTCTCCACCTTGGACACTCGACCGATCTCCGGCAGGAGGTTTTGTTTTTTACGGTTGTTTGTTTCATCCGGTCTTGTATTTTTGGTGTTTGTTTGTCTTGAATGCTGAGGGCGAGGGCGAGCTGAGCAGGTTTTCTTTTATCCTCTTGGAACGAACAAAAGCACATGGTGTTTGTTTGCTTGGAGCTGGGTATGGTTGACATTGCACCTACGGCGATGGCGAGGGGGTTGGGCATGAATTCGCGTTGTTTGAGTTATGTTTGTGCGGAACCTTGGTCAAAGAAACCTCGGATGCTTTGAATGATGGCGATGGCGGGGCAGGTTTGGATACTGTTTTTGTGTGACAGTGTGTTTCATTTGCTTGAAACCTTGTGGTTAAAGCTAAAGAACGTCAAAGATTCAGCCTGCACTTGCCGGCCAAAGATCAGGACTGGGAAGGTGAGGACACGCAGGAGTTGAGGTACAAAGTGCCCCAGTTGCCCAGTGCACTTTTTCTCATGTTTTGTCTTCCAGTGTTGGTTTTCCCGTTGGTAACTAACCAACAATATAGCAAACAACGTTAATATCTATTTGTTTGCCCTCTGGTTTTCTGCTTGGAAACCCGTGGTCTCCTTTTTTGTGGAAATCGGCTGAGGAGCCCTCGGTCTTGAACGCGGTGGTGCTGGTGGCGGGCACCACGGTGGGCGCCGGGATCCTGGCGCTGCCTGCGGTGACTCAGCCCGTGGGCTTCGTGCCGTCCATGGCCGCCCTCAGCTTTTCCTGGCGACTCGGCTTCGGGTTTTGGTTTGGTGTCAACTCAAAATATTGTCGTCCTGCTGTTTTTTTGTCGTTGCCGAAATATGCCTGCTTGTTTTCGGTTTTCCTGCTAGTTCCCTACTAAAAAAACAAAAGGGGCCGCATAGCGACATGGACCTCCCAGTTCTAAAGGGGTTTTCCTGTTTGGGTGTGGACAACCCTCCAAAAAAGCAACACACGGGCCCCTTGAAGGGTTTAGACTTTGGTGCCTAAAATTACCTTTGTGGGAAGTGCCTTCAATCTGAGAATTACCATTTGGAGGAAATTTTGAGGTTTAAGTGGACCCAGTTCAGATGACCTGCCTTGGCTTGGGGCATGGCGCAGACGCGTGAAGAATGGCCCTCTCCCTCTCTCACAGAAAGTGCAGACTGATCTCAAGTTATCTTGACCCGACCTCGGGCAGAGGTGCACTTGTTTTGCGCGCCTCTTTCCAGAATTCATGAGGTCTGCTATTAGGGCTGCCGCTTTGTGTGATGCAATGGGAATCCCCTTAAAGTGATAAAGTAGTCATGGAAATCAACCTCCTTACGGTATCACAGAAAGGGCTAGTTTCCACAACCACGCTCACTTTTGCGTATGAGGTTGGTTCAAAGGTTGGCTTAAAGGACGCGGAAAACCAAAGCATCTTCTGGGTCCACTTCCTCGTTTTGACACATACCTATAATTTCTGGTGAGTTTACCTTTTCAGATAGACTCAAACATAGTTTTGTTCTTTGGGGGACAGCAACCCATTTAGGGGTTTCAGCCCACCAAATGGAAAGCTAATTTCCGGAGCACCTCCGAAATACCGGGTCCCAAACCAGCAACTAGAGAGGGGAGCTGGGTGCGTCTTTTGTTAGTGCACTCCCCAAAATGGTGTCGGATTTCCTTTCGTGTCCCTGTCAAACACACCTTTTTGTAAAGGGGTACCACCAAAGAAAGACGGCGCCACCTGGCAACCACAAGCCGAGGATCTACATGGCCGTCACGGGGCTCTTTATCGCGGAGGTGGCCTGCCGCACCATGGCGGCGACCGGGAAGCGGAACATCTCACTGCAGTCTATGGCCATCAGCGCCCCAGTTGCAACCCTTGGGTTGGTCCCCCCCTCCCGTTTTTCAAAGAGTTTTTGTTCTTCTTTTTTCCGGGTTTTATTTACTTTTATTTGATTTTGCTTTATTTTTATGGGGAGGGGTGGTGGACACTTCCTTGGTTTCTAGGGCTCCTGGCTGCATGGAGTCTAAGTGCCCATGGCACCGGGGTTGGCGGGGGGGGGGGGGTGGATTTCTCTAAGATCAGCAATCAAAACAGAGATAGCTGCAACCAGGCAACCAGTGGGCTTCATTTTCTTTTCTCGACTTGTTGTTGGGCTTTAGGTGTCCCTTTTGGTGCCCCGATTCTCGACTTGTGGGATTATTGGGAAGGGACTCCCTTGAAAATCAAGCAACAAATGGCGCAATCCTTTCCTTCATGGACATCCAATATCCACTGAGGCAGCGTGGGGCAGGCGGGCGCGTGGCTGAGCTCTGGAGCCTTTGTGTTCCTCCACATGGCGCTGCTCATTGCCTACTGTTCCAAAGGCGGTTGAGGGTTTCCACAGCCCAAGACACTGCCCACTACTCCCTTGTTTGGGTGGGTGGGTGGGTGGATTCTCTCTTAGAACAGGGGACATGAGGCAGTGGTCGGAAGCATGTTCCTGAAAGGTGGATTCAACATCAGCTCCCGTGTCGATTGAGCTTTCGTTTGGTCTGAACATATCTGCGCAGGGCATACGATGTTTGTCATAAGACGCGGGGGCGGGGGGTAAGCCGCCCCCCCCTGACGGAATCCGCGTCGCTTCTGTTTTGAGAGGTGGGGAGCTGCTGCTGTCGCTGGGTCTGGCGGCTCTGCCCATCCCCGGGCCGCTGCTCTTCGCGGGGATCTTCGGCGGCTTCGTCTTCGTGGCCAAGGGCTCGGAGGCTCCGACTCCGACTCGGAGCGCTAGAAAATCTTCACAAAACGTCAGCACTCAGCTGGGAAGCACTCGAGCGGCCTTGCGAGGCGTTCCTGTGCCCGGG